TGTTTACCTGGATGGAGCTGGAACATATTCTTCTTAGTGAAGTATCTTAAGAATGGGAAAAAAAAATTATCTAATACTCTTTACTATTATGAACAAATACATATACTTACACATTGATATGAATGATAAAACACAAAGATAGTCCAGAAAGAAAAAGGGGAGAGGGACGATAAGGGAGGTGACAGAAGGGAGTGTATTTGGGAGGATCTCACCAGTGTAAACAATGCAAGGGTATTTTATAAAACAAGAGTATATGTCTTACCACAAAAATAAGTGAGGTGAAGGTTATGTTAGTTTGATTTAAGCATTCCCCAATGTATATCAAATCATTATATGGTACCCCATAAATGTATACAGTTATGATTGAATAAAAATTAAGAAAAAATAATAAGTTGAATAAAATAATAGAAGCTGGATTAATCCATTCCTGGGTCCCATAAACTTGAATTTTCAAAATGATTTTAACGGTAAATATACTGGATTTTAAGGTAAAATATTAGTAAGTCATAACCATTGTTTAAAAGTGTAAATTAACAAAATTAAAAATATAAAAACCTAAAAATGTAAAGGCCTGTTTCATCCCAATGGAACACTTGGTTCGAAATATACCCCTCACTGTTAACAAAATTCCTTAAACTCCTTCATAAACTTTGCTGCTGCTTCTAAATTAGAACTGGCAGCCTCTCCATGCATAAACACACTATGGATCCCAGTCCTTTTCTTAAAGTTCTTGAACCACGCCCTACGGGCTTTAGCCTCCTCCTTTGAGGAGGCCTTTCACTAAATGATTATAGAGGACTTTGGCTTTCTCACAGATCATCATCTCAGAAATTACACCACCAGCCAGCTGTTTTTCACTAATCCGAACTAAGAGGAGTTTCCCCATCTCTTCCAAGCTTTTAGATATCCTGTAGGCCAGCATTGTAACCCCTTATGCCACATCAGCTGTTTTCATAGCTTCTTTAGTTTTCAAAATTGTACAAGCAGTAGATTTTGGCATCCCAGATATGCTGAGCAATGAGATCTTTCTTAACTTCAGTTGTGACTCTAAAGGCTTTCCTCTTACTCCTATTTTCCTCACTACGCTTTTTAGGACCCTTGGCATATACATTTAGTTGTTATATTAAAACACACACACACACGTACACACAAAACAGGCACAAAAGGTTAAAACTAGTAGAATCCATGAGACTCTTTCACTTACAGTTTCTGACAAGGAACTGGACAACAAAGTATGGGTGGCCATAGGGCTGGGGAAATGTTGAACAAAAACGTGCCCATGTGCTGGGAGTTCAGATTCCAAAGCAGCAAGCCGCGTTTGGATTTTGGGCAAAATTTGTTGTAATTTTTCACTCAGATTCCAAATTGTTCGAGTTCTGGGGTGTTGGGATTCTGATGTTTCCCTTCCCTTGCTAGAATCAGGAGGGGATTTTTCTACTGTCTTTGCAGTGAAAGCCTTGTAGGGATCTTGGAAGTGAAACTCACAGAAGTTTAGGGAGCCCCTCCCCCCTTTAAAATCTGACCCCCTCCTGTTTTTTAACTCTGCAGCTAAGTGATTAGTCCCCTTCAGGGTGATGTGCTCCTGCTCTAGGACTGGCTTCAGCTGAGGGCTTCTGCTTCTGGGCCTTTGCTCCCAAACTGTAATTCTCTGTTAGCTATCTGTTGCTCTGTCTGGCCAGTTCTCAGAGCAGCAGTTTGCCCTGTGACCTCAGTTCTTTGATGGATCTAAGAGAGTTGTTGACTTTTGGTCTTTTTAGCTCTTTTATTTTTGTGAGGTAAGGTGTGACTACTTCCAAGCTCTTTATATTATACATTGGGCTGGAAAATGGAAATTCCTATGTTTCTTATTAGAATGAAAATATAATTGTAGAACATGCTTAGTCTCTTACAGCTTTTCTTTTCCATCTCTGAACTTTCCAGTGAACATTTGAACACAGATGACATTTGGACAGAAATAACTTCTTTTCATTGCCTTTTAAAAATTAATCTTTTCATTTTTTGATTTTTCTAATTGTCTGCAAAATACTCAAGAGTGATCCTATGGAATATGGAAGGCAAGAATGAATCCTTGATATTCTTCTCTGAAGTCTTGATTCAGCAATTAGAAAGGTTTTCAAAAATCTCTCTCAAAAGATTTAGACAGGATAGGCAGAAAGAGTAATTCATGTACCTTTTCAAAGTATTTTCAGTGGGCCAGACGGTATCCTATGACTACAAAAAGAAATAAAGGTAGGATTCAGATCAGAGTGTTCTAGGATGAGTCAGGTAGCAGACAAGCAAATGATATCAAGGAAGTGTGTTAGATAATGATATTCTACCATGTCTAGAGCAGTACAGAGGTGAGAAATTTTTTTTAAAAATTTTGAGATTAATATGAGGGTACAAACAATTAGGTTACAGTGTTTGTGTTTTTTGGGAAAAGTCCCTGTTGTAGTTGTATCCTGCCCTCAGGAGGTGTGCCATACACACTTGCATGGTGCCCATGAGGTGGGAGCCCAGCAGTCTCCTTCCCTACTCCCCCCCAGCACCCTCCCTTCTCTCTCCTCCCACCAGCTTGAATTAAATAGAGTTTTTCTCTTGTGTGGGCATTTATTAGTTCTATTGGCTTCATATTAGTGTTGAGTACACTGGATACTTTCTTAACTAAGTGAGACGTTTCTGGCCTACCTTGGAGGATTAGGGTGAGACAGGGAAAGTTAACCTAAAAGTGTTGACAGGTAGAATGACTGGGCTAAGGAGAGTGCTCTGAGAGAGACTGGCCTAAAGAATTTTTCCTGCAGTCAGGAATGGGAAAGTGAGACAAATCAGGCGAGCAGAGAGTGTTTCTCCCAGTCTTACTCATGTGGTTTTATTATTTAGATTGATATATTGAAAATTCCAGAATATACACTTGCTGGGCTATAATGTATTTCAAAGCCGAATATAAGCAGTTTTTAAACTTTTGAATTGTTTTGTATTATCCTACAGTGTGAATATTGAGAATTAACTATAAAATTATATTTCACATTGATGTAAGGTATGAATTGCTAAAATAGTTTAATTCTCAAATTATGTCTCTTATATATAACTAACTTTGTACATATGAACCTTCATATTCTTACTTTACTTTTCCAAGTCTATTATAAATAGTACCACTAGCTTCTGGTGAAGGAATAATAAGTATAATCTTAATTATCATGTTGAAATATAGGAATGCTTTGCAGGGGTATCTAACCTGTAGCCTGTGGGCTATATGTTGATTTTTGTGGGTTGTTTTTTTTTTTTGCAGTTTTTGGCCGGGGCTGGGTTTGAACCCACCACCTCTGGCGTATGGGCCAGCGCCCTACCCCTTTGAGCCACAGGTGCCACCAGGTTTTTTTTTTTTTTTTTTTTTTTGCTTAGCTGTGGTGTCTGATATCATGAAAAGTATGCATGGACTTTTTTCTGGGGTGGGGTGGGATCAGCTTTCCACAGTGTTTGCATATTTAATGTGTGGCCCAAGACAACTTTTATTTTTCCAGTGCAAAACAGAGGGGGTAAAGGTTGGACACGCCTATTTTAGATTAATAACTAGCAGATTTTTACCTAGTTCTAATATAATGGTGTAGATTTTAAAGTTGCCATTACCAGTCGAAATTAAACTATTCTGGCAGACATCTAATATACTGTTTCTAAATGAACATGTATATATAGGAGAAAGAATTTTGGACTCCTTGAAGAAAGCAGGATAAAGAATCTATTTTAGATTATGGAATACAGCACTAAAGCAATTGACATCTTAATTTTCTAAAAAAAAAAAAATTATCCTCTGGTTTTATTTCATAAAATTTGACTTTTAATTATGTTGCTGCTAAATTTGTTCCCTGAGATATTTTGCATAGATGACTTAAGAAATTTTTAGAAGGAAAACACTTCCTAAAATGCCCATTAACACCCCCTGTTAAATATTTACTTTTCTTCTAGGTGCCCTTTCCTGAGTCTTCACATTGGAAACAGTGTACTCATTTTATATTGCTGCTGTGAGAGCAGTAGAATCACCATGAGTTTAGTGGCTTAAAAACAACACAAATTTATAAATTTACAATTTTGTAGGTCAGAAGTCTAGTATGAGGCCTGACAGACTGTTTGGGCTCTAGGAGAGCATTTGTGTATTGCTTTTTGGGTTGGTGGCAGAATTTAGTTCCTTGCCATTATAGGACTGAAGTCACACTTTTGTGGTGACTGTTTACCTGAAATTTATCCCACCTTCTAGAAGTTGCCGTATTTCTCAGCTTGTGATTTCCTTCCTCTATCTTGAAAGCTAGCAGAAGCCTGTGGATTGCTCTGCATTTTGCATTTCTTTGGCACAAAAGTGGTAGATTCTTTTGTATCTTATACTTTTAAAGATTTATGTAATGAGTTTGGGCCCACCCAAATAATACAGGGTAATCTCCCCATCTCAAGGTCCTGAACCATATCATATCTGCCCTTTTTCCATGTAACATAATACATTCATGGGTTCCAGGAATTAGGACATAGACATCTTTGAGGGGACATTGCTACTGCCTACCACAAACAGTAGTGCTGACTGGTGCTGGACTTTGGTGGCTCAGTTCTTTTTCTGTTTAGAATACCTCTGACCTTTTCCTTCTTGAAAACTGAAAACAAAAGAGTTATTGAGACTCAGAGTCACTAAGGTAGTGCATTAGATATAATACCTATAGAAAAATTATACAGGAAACAAATTCCAGAAAGAAAAGATACTTTCAGAGTACTCACTTTAAAAAGAGAAGGTCCTATATATTTTTGCTGAGTTTTTATTAACTGGTCCTAATCCTTAGTACAAAGATCCATAGTTATGCACACAGCAGTGGGAAGCAAACTTTTATACGTAATCGTTAAAGAGTCTCCTAATGTGATATGAAAACATTCCAAGATGAAGAGATACTCACAGAAGTAACTTGCAATCATTTACCAAAATTTCTGTCAATTTTGATAATGGATGACATTGCATCTTACTGTGTTATTTCTTTCCTACTTAGATCATCACAAAGTATGTATATGAGCTCCTGGAGAAGGACTGTAATTTGAAAAAAGTCTCTATTCCAGTAAGTCCAATTTTCAAAAATGTTTATTCCAAAGAAAATATTTGCTTCTAAGTTAAATAGTTTTTGGTTCAGAAGAAAACTTTTCTTTCAATTTAACTGTGATAAGGTTAAGTGTAAATGTTATAGTGTGTTGATATGGGTAACAATAACTTTAGTTTGTCAGTATACCTCATCCCATGGTACATAGTAGTTCTCAGAAAATAATACTCCTAATCGTAAAGGGAGAAATACTGATTTCCACTCTTTTGAAAATGATGCCACAATTGAAAGGTTTGCCTTTTACTCTACTCTTTGTTGTTTCACTGGATTATTTATTTTTATGTATTTATTTGAAATGAACTAGTGCACATTTTGTTGCATTAGACATTCACTATTTCTTTAAATATTTCTTGACTTTTTAAAATATGTTTTATCTCTACACATAATATGTTGTTTTCTCCACACATTCCCAAATTCGTTTCTTGTGCTTCCTGTTTCATAACACTGCTCCTTCCCTTTTTGGCAGAACACGTTTTCTGAATTTTGTACATTTTGCCATTTCAGAGTGAAAAGTTTGAGATTTGTTCTCAGACTCAAATTCTCAAATGGAAGAAAGAATGAAAACCCTTTTGTTGTTAGTGTAAAACACAAAATACTAAGCTTAGAAGTGAAGAAATAGTAATAATACATATGGAATGATGGTTAGACTAGATTAGATGATCTTTGCTCTCCCCTGACAATTTATAAGTTTGCTCTCCCTGAATTTATAAGAATCTGGAATGCTTGCTTCAAGTAATTAATTTAAGGCAAAAAAGTTTGCATGTAGATAATCTTTTACATGAAGTTTTGCATAAGATTTGAAAATTTCTTAGGTAATTTTATTCTGTTTAAATTGGAGGGTTTGAGGATTTCTTTAATTTCAATACATTTAAGTGGGTACAAGTGGTTTTTTGTTAAATGGATGAATCATTCAGTGGTGAAGTCAGGGCTTTTAGTGTACTGATTACCCGAATAGTTGTACATTGTTCCCAGTAGGTAATTTTTATTCCAGAATTGATTCTGTAATTCTTCTTTTTTTTGGGGGCGGGGGGACAGAGTTTTACTTTGTCACCCTTGGTAGAGTGCTTTGGTGTCATAGCTCACAGCAACCTCAGATGCTTGGGCTCCAGCAATTCTCTTGCCTCAGCCTCTTGAGTGGGTGGGACTATAGGTGCCCACCACAGTGCTCTGCTATTTTTAGAGATGGGATCTCGCTCTTGCTCAGACTGGTCTTGAACCCGTGAGCTCAGGCAATCCACCTGCCTTACCCTCCCACAGTGCTGGGATTACACGTGTGAACCACTGTCCCTGGCCCTTCTTCTCCTCCTCCTCCTTCCTCCTCCTCATTCTATCTTCTTCTTCTTTAATCTTCTTCTTTTTCTTTAATCTTCTATAGGTAACTTCAAATGCCAGGTCACACTATTAGTTCATTTATTTATTTATTCATTCATTCAACAAATATTAAGGATCTTTTAGGTGTTGGGCACTGTTCTAGGTGCTTATGACATTTTAGTGAATAAATCATCATTCTGTGTAATAGCTAGGCCAACTATTGGTTTAAATGGAAACTTTTCTTCCTTTAGAAATATAGGAAAGCCAAAGGACCTTTGTGGAAATGAATATGCTAATATTTTTTAGAATCTAAACTAAAGTTTTTGTTTTAGTTTTGAGTTCAGACTTAGCGTTTTACTTTATCTAAAGTATGTATTGAATTTGGTCTTCTGGAAAGTCAAGGTAGAATTTTGTCACTTTGTACAGTCTTTCTTTCTTGTTAATTTTATATCTTTCAAAGTTTCTGAAGAATGATATTTAAAGAGCTTTAGGTTAATTCATTTATGTGACACAATTAGTATTGAGTCCTTTAACATTATAATACTTCTAGTTCTTGGAACCCTTAAACTCATTGTAATCCCCAGACTTCTAGAACAAATCACAGGATAATTGTCTATAGAGATTATGTCACAGATTAAGTCTTATTATTTTTCTTTATGGAAAATCTGAGGTTAGGTATAGGAAGGCTTTGTTTTATAGATCTGATATGCGAGAGAGAGTTCCTTGATATGAGACTTAAAACCCATTTCTGGTTAATGAAAGTTTCCTTATTTTGTAAACATAGAAAATAACTCATGATTTTGTCGTTAGTAATTAATAACTCTCCTTACATTGGCACATTTGTACAGTTGTGAAATTTTTCTTCAATAGCTATTATTTTTCTCCTGAGTTCTTTTATCAGTGAGAGTGGGATTTTTTTGGTAAAAGTTGTTCTTTTACTAAAATAATGCCATCAAGCTTTGTTTTTCCCTGATGATGAATTAAGCTTTAGTTTTATAATTAAACTATTTAAAAAGAAAAACTTTTTTTAAAGTAATGGCCCTTTGTGGAAACCTATTATTTGATGGTAAAGATCATGAGCATGTCTTATGTTTACTCCACACCTCACATAAATAGTCTCAAAGTGTCTCCATTGTGGTATCTTGTGTGGATGATTGGACACATGAGTTAACAACTTGATTATACATCTTCATTTAGTTTATTATATGTATCATGTTTAAGTGACATATGTATAATAGTTAGTGGGGTTCCTGAGGACCCCAAAATGACTTGTTAACTGCTGCACAATTTTGGTGCAGTCTCATTGACCCAATGGTGTTTGAACTTGATTTCTCAATAAAGTGAGGGGATGCCCAGGAATTACCTTTACATGTGTTCCTTCATGAGAGCTTAGCTTAATGAATTATCACTGTTGGAAGATAAATGGCCTTGGAGCAACCATGTTGAAACCTAATTAGGTTAATGAAGAAATATTTATTCACATAGCTATTCTGCTATTTAAAACTAGCGCTAACTTTATATAGAATAAGTTGTAGTTACCATTTGTTAAATTTAGGCAAATATTAGCTAGTAATGAGGTCAAATACTGCTCTTCCCTCTTAATCATTATCATTATTACATTATTCATTTTCATTGTTATTTTTTCTTAAATGTTCTGATATTCTCATATTTTCAAAGTCAACTTTTAATGGATATTCATGTAAAAATTTTATTCATTTATTCATGGCAACCTTCATATGTAACCCCTTAAAAATTCTTGAGCAGCATTATAATATAAAAAATACATTTTTTGTCTTCTGAAAATTAGTCCTTTCCCAGTTTTAAGTGATTACTCGAGAATTCAAAGTGGCAACGTTCAGTGCTTAAAAAATGGACTCAGTTTCATTTAACAGGGGACTTAGTCAAATAGGGAAAAAGAGACAGTGATCAGCCTCTACTGGAAAGGATATAGTTACAGGATTTTTCATTACAGCAAATAGATGTCCATTTCCATGGCCATTCCAGGATCCATTAAGGCCTCACTGACTTTAAGAGGCACTTTTCTTTGTGCGTGTTTAGATGTACTATTTGGTAATCGAATGACTAGAAACCCCTGTGGCCTCTTTTTTCTTACACACTGACAGCTTTGCCTTTTAATTTTTTTCCTTTTGTTCTTATAACCATTTTATCTTTTTTAAAACCCTTTAACTGAGTGGTTCTCCTGTTTTCATAGAATGTTCCTAGGTAAAAGGAAATTTTTTGTCTTAGATGTGGTTTTTCCCTTTCTCTCATCCATTTCTCTTCTTGTATGGCTCTGGTATATCAATTGTCATCATCATAATTTGGTTACTTTAGACTTAGGAAACAGGTGAAGCTACTGCGATTGTGTTACATTTCATACCCCACTTCCTGTGTTTTTAGTTGTTAATAATAAAGTTGCAGTTATATCATTTTAAATTTTTTATAGCTATGCATTGGTTTAATTTTAAATATGTGCTTTCTGAACTAGACAAATATTATAACCATTTAAGAGGTTATATTATTTAGTTAAATACCTTTTACTTAAAGAAAGTCCCTGGCAATGATGCCTCATTCCAAACATTTATTCGTTCCTTTATTTACTGGGTGCTTACCATCTGCCGGCCTCTGTTCTAGGGACTAGGACTATAGCAAGATATAAAACAAAGAACTCTGGGCCTTTCTGGACTTCCATTCTAGTTGAAGGAGCAGGCAGTGAATAAACAAATAGACTACATAAACATAAAAGGAAAGCATACTACGGTATGTTAGACCATGGCATATGCTGTGGAGGAAGTAAAACAAAAGGGAACAGGGAAGTCTTGAGGACCAGGGAAGCGAGAAAGGGTAGTTAGGGGAGCTGCAATGAGCAGGTGGTGTTTCTTCTTAAGCCTTGTGGCCCTGCTTTTCTTGCTGAAGTAATTGCTATTTGTACTCTCTTTATACAAATGCCTAAGCATCTATTACTGAGGCCAATCTGATTGTTTTAGAAATAGAAAAATTTTATTTTTCTCTTCCCAGACATTACGGTGAATATTTAGGATCCAGGGCTTTTTTTTTTTTTTGCATACGGAGTTTTTGTGTATTTCTCATTTTGATAATTATATGAACATTTACTGTTGACAGAGTGAAGATCCATCATGTAGATAGCATATCGATAGACTTTCTCTATGTCTTTTCCATCTTGTAGCTCTGTCCCGGCTTAACAAAACTTCCATTTCCTGTTGCTGGCCCTTGCGGGTGTGGAATACTGTTAAATGTGTCATGGCCTGGGTAATGAAGGTTGGGAAGTTATCCCTTCCTAAAGGTCTCTAGTGTGTTTCAAATCTAAATCATATTACATTTTTGTCCCATAAGTAACTCATACAGAAAGATTATCTGAGTACATGAATAATGTTGTTTTATAAAATAATTGGTATATAATTCTGTATTCATCATCTGAATGAAATTTGAACAGCCATTTACATAGAACAGTAGGTATTTGAGTTTTTAAATAGTTTCCTTTTCTTCCCTTTAAAACACTTAATAATATTCCCAGCTAATAGATGATTTTCCAATACGTATATTTTCCAATTGGTATATTTTCCAAATAGGTATTTTTCTGTTATCTATTGTAGGTGCAGTATATTTCTATTATAGAATTATAGACTTAGTAACTGTATGACCTTGGGCAACTTAAACTTTCTAAGCCTTAATTTCTTCACGTATAATTGAGTATAATTATAGTGCACCCTAATGAGATTGTGATAAAATGAAATGATGTTTTCATTATTTATTTATTAATTGTTAAATCCTCTGCACAATTATGGTCAAGATAGTAATTTTTTAAAAACAGGTAGCATAGGGCTAGGTGCCCGTAGCACAGCAGTTACGGCACTAGTCACATACACTGAATTTGGCGAGTTCAAACCAGGCCTGGGCCAGCTAAACAGCAATGGCCACTGCAACAAAAAATAGCCGAGTGTTGTGCTGGGTGCCTGTAGTCCCAGCTACTTGGGAGGCTGAGGTGAGAGAATGACTTAAACCCAAGAGTTTGAGGTTGCTGTGAGCTGTGACGCCACTGCACTCTACCAATGGTGACATAGTGAGACTCAAAATAAATAAATAATAAACCCCAGGTAGCATAGGATAGGAAGAGCTGATTCTTATTTATAATGTAAAAACATAATGCCGAGGGACATATTTACAACATTATTTTTCATATTTTTATATTTAAATTACTATCGTGTCTTGCTCATAGACTTAATTTATAATTGTTAATCCCTACTGAATATTTTAATTTTACTTAAAAATTTTTTACTTCTATAATTCTATAATAACCATTCAGTAGTCTGTAATAATCATGAATTATTTTCTCATTTATGTGTATACCTTATCAGAAAACATTTATTTATTTATTTATTTAATTTTTTTTTAATTACAGGTAGATGCCACTGAGCATGAACCAAAGAGTTTTATCTTTATGAGTGAGGATGCTTTGACAAATCCACAGAAACTGATGGTTTTAATTCACGGTAGTGGTGTTGTCAGGGCAGGTCAGTGGGCTAGAAGGCTTATTATAAATGAAGATCTGGACAGTGGCACACAGATACCTTTTATTAAAAGAGCTATGAATGTAAGTGCAATTTTCTTTATTTTTTGACATTTTATAGTTCTCTTTTATTATATGTTATAAGTTATTTCATTATGTCTCTTTAAATACCATATCTTAAGCATAATTTTCTCTTCAAATTGTTATTTATTTTACTTGCATGTAAGATTATTCTGCATTATTTTGCAGTTACAAGGAAAAACAAAGTGGTATTGAGCATACAGAGATTTGGATAATATCTTTGAAATATATTATTTTTATTCTAAAATATTTTATTACATTAAATATCAGTTGAACTATCAGATATTTATCAACGTTATTGAAAATATTTCTGGAAAAAAATTATGATTGCTCTTGTACACCTCTTCTACCTAATTGAGTGAAGTTAGAGACAAAGCAGAAAACCTGCTACTTTGAATTAATCTCTTCTTCTTTAAAAGAGTAGTTGGAATAACTCAATGTTTTTTGTCATTTTTAAAAAATATTCTGTAGTATGCACAGATAAAATGCTTTAAGCATTAGACATAGACATACAAAATGATAAATTATGATGTTTACTGAAGATTTTATTCTTATTTGCATTTAGACTTTTAGAAATTCATATTTTAAAATTGTGTTCAAGGTTTTCTTTCCAGTAGTAGTGACGTTGTTTTTCTGAGTTGACAGTGCTGTAGCTTAATGTTAGGCTGCTTTGTTTAGTGTTCCATTCTTAAATTCTACAATGAATAGCAGACTTTTGCAAAGTATAGGGTTTTTTTTTTCCCCACATATTGAGTAGAGATTTCCCTCAGACAAAAAATAAAGCAGCATCTTATGTAATAGATTTAATGTAAAAAGTGAAGGAATATATGTATCCATGTGTGCTTTGTTTTATTTATAAAAGCTATATTATTACTTTCTATTTTTTTAAATTGGAAAGAGATCCTTTGATATACTGCTGATTACAAAGGTCAAAGGTAGTGAGTCCTCAGTTCAGTTAAGTCTGACACGACAGTGTGAAGGTGCAGCCTCTTTCCTAAAGAATTTTTTTGATATCCTTAAAATGTTGCAAGTATAATTTCTTATTCTTGATTTTTCCAGTCTTTATAGATAGGCAAACAACTCAAAGACATTACTTTTGGTTTGGTTACTAACTTTAGGAGTATGTTTTTTTAGTAGAATTGAAGTAACTAAAATAAATTGAAGTTTAGACTGAAGTAACTCACATAAAATATTATATTTAAAGTGTTCCATTTTTCAGGTTTTGAAGAGTGAACTTCTCTGTGACACATTTGTTTGTGGTTGGAACATATCTTGTCTATGTACTTTAGGAAGACTGTTGTATGTGAAATATGTCCACTCGTCAGTGAAGATCTAAAAACTTAGTAAAGACAGTGTGATGCTTTCAACGTGTCGGTGCTTGGAGAATATTATGTGATTATATTGTTCCTGCTATTGGTCACCTAAAGCTTTTCCTATTCTGGAATATTTTGTCATGTATGGTTTTTGAGGTGAAATAATTTATGAGAATCCATGCCAAACATCTTTGTTTGAGGATAGTACTGTTAATATTCCAAACAGGAGGGAGGAAGTTTGTTAGCAACATTAGAATAGCAAGTCATTTTGTTCTTAGAAATAGGAAATAATGTTTTAGAGATAACAGTATTTTACTCCTTTTCTCAGTAATGGCAATGCTATGGTTTCTTAAAAAGAAGCAGCTGATTTTTAAGTGTCACAGCACATTGAAAGTTTACTTTATAATCATACACTTCATTCTCCTTGTTTAAAAAAAATGAATATGAACTTTATCATGGTGATTTCTTCTTGGTGAATATTTTAAAACCAATATCTTTTTAAAATCCTAACAAAGGACTACTCCTTGGTCTTTACCTTTTCTTAGGTTTTTTCCAAGGCCTGTTTTGTATGTGTGAGCAAGGTATAGTCGGAGGAAGGTAGACATGGAGGAAAGAACTGTCACATCCTTAGTTTTTAATCGTGTTATCTCTGCTTTTTGTTTTTGTTTGGAATTTTTGTGAGATTGTGTTTAAAGAAAGGTTTCCATGGTTTGTAAAAGATCTTTAATGGTCTGTCAGTTTTCGTAGCACAACTACCATAAATTCTGATGTAGTAGAAGCCAGACAATGATGTCTCTACTCAGCGTTATTAATACTTCTCTATATTCCCTACCGATTGTTGGTATGTGATTGAAATTCCTAAAATTTAATTCATCTCGTTGTAAGGTCCAAAGTTTCTTTTTCAACAGTAGAATCCTGTTACAAAGTAGGTGGGTTTGTGAAAAGTATTGTTTAAATCTGTAGAGCCACTTTAATGAAAGGTGGGGGTGAAGCTTGGAACCATCCCTACAAAGCCCTTGATATTTCTTCCCTGAACCCCCAGGGCTTCACAGATCATAGTTTGAAAGTCATAGGTCTTCCATTCCTTGTGGGTTAGGTACTTGAGAACTTTATTATCAGAAATGTATTACGATTTCATGCTAGGGGAATTGCATATATCAGATAAATCCCCACAAGTGCTTGGGAGGTTGCCATACCTAATATTTTTGGTTTTAATGATATTCATTGCATAATACATTACTTGGAGTGAGGAATAGTATTTCATATAGCCAAGTAGTAATTATTCATCTCTGATTGTGTAGTCTGAGAGTTACTCATACTTGTTTTTACTTTGCCCTTTTCTCAGATACTTTTTTTTTTTAAATTGAGATGAGGCCTTGCTCATCACCCAGGCTGGAGTACAGCAGTGTGATCACACCATCATGCCTGGCTCATCTTTGAAAATTTATTTATGTAGAGGGAGCATCTCACTGTGTTGTCCAGGCTCATCTTGAACACCTGGCCTCAAGGGATCCTACCACCTTAGTCTTTAATGTGCTGGGATTCTAAATGTGAGCCACCATGCTCAGCTGAACCTTAGATTTTTGAATCAGAAGATATGGTTGGGGTCTGAGAATTTACATCTCTATTACTGTCCCTGGTGATACTTATGTTGATAGTCTAGGCGCCACACTAGTACTACTGCTATAGATAATGTTTTTTGGGTTGGTTGAAGGTTTCCTTATACTTTTCAGACTTTGTAATGGTTAAGGTAGAACTTGTTGGCAATTATACTTATTAAAACAGGATAGAGAAATTCAGGAAAATGTTTTATAATAGAATTGAAGGAAAAGTAAAAGTTCAGATTATACAGGACACTTTCAAAATACTGTCTATAAGTGACTCATACATAACATGATTTACAATTTTGTTGATTTTAAAAATTTCATAAGAATACTTCATTAAGATAACATTTTTCCTAATTTCTCTTTGCTGGATTATTCAGAGAAATCTGATACTTCCATACTAACTTGCTTTGAATATAATATTTATGCTATTATGCCTGAATTTAATAAAACAATATTTTATAAGATAATTTATATAGTTTGGAATCTGGAATCTGTAACATGGCAGACTGAGTTCATTAATATTCACTTTCCTCTTCCACAAGAAAATATTGGTAAGACATGACAGCAAAAATATTAAAAACCTAGTTGTGTGTGTTCAAAAGATAGAAAAGGAATCCCTAAATTCATCAAATACAAGATAAATGTGTGAGTAGAAGAAAGAATTTAAAGCCACAATGGTTAATCCCAAGAGCAGGGGTCCTCAAACTTTTTAAACAGAGGGCCAGTTCACTGTCCCTCAGACCGTTGGAGGGCTGGACTGTGGGCCCCTGGGATGAGTCAGCTGCTAAGCAGGACAGGCAGTGGTGGCAAAGATACCCAGTGGGCTGGATAAATGTCTTTGGCAGGCCACATGTGACCCACACGCCATAGTTTGAGGACGGCTGCCCTAGAGGGTGTGGCAACCTTAGGGAATAGGTGATGGAAACTATTTACAAGCCTAAGGCCCGCAGGATCTAACAGGCTTTGGACCTGAAAGGTAGAAGCTAAAATCAAGACACTTGGATGAATTAGAAATAAGGACCCTGGAAGTTGCTTCCCTTTTAATAGAGGAAGGCCCAGGAGCGAAAAATCAGCTCACTGTCCCAGAGGTGAAAACAGAGTTCCTTTGCCAGAGGTGTCAGTGGGGGAAACTGAGGCCACAGACCCTACCTAACCCATAGGTGGATTTGTATTTGAAGTTTGAATTTAGCTAGCCTAGGCTCAGAGCCTATAGCTCAGCGGCTAGGGTGCCAGCCACATACACCGGAGCTGGCAGGTTTGAATTCAGCCTAGGCCTACCAAACAGCAATGACAACTACAACCAAAAAATAGCCGGGTGCGGTGGTGGACACCTGCAGTCCCAGCTACTTGGGAGGCTGAAGCAAGAGAATCATGTAAGCCCAAGAGTTTGAGGTTGCTGTGAGCTGTGACTTCATGGCACTCTACCCAGGGCAATATAGTGAGATTCTGTCTCCAAAAAAAAAAAAAAAAAAGAATTTACCTAGCCTATTTAGTGTGAAAATCTTAAGGACTGTAATAAATGTTAGACTGGATTCTTGACTGATATAATCCCTGGAACATCTGGTAGAAACAAATATAAAACTGCCGTGTAAAAATACTTTATAACCCAGAATAAATCCGTCCTAGAGACAAATTCATAGTCAGAAACTACAGATTATATTATTAGGTGAGTCATCATGAAGAAAAATCAGATCATGCACCTATTAGACATAGTTGAAGGGAGAATTAGTTAATTGAAAACTAGAATTAAGTAATAAAGTATGCAGAATATAGGACAGAAGAAATGAGAAAAAATATGATAGATAAAATGCCATGGAGAATAGAGTAAGATGTAATGTTGTTCTAACAGAAGTTCCAGAAAAGTAACAATAACAAAAATTAAAAAGGGAGAAAAAGTATGTATTAGAGGCTAAATGTTTTTGAGAGTAAAGACATAAACCATATTGTTAAGGAAATAAAACATATCTTAATTAACACAAATGAAAATAAACCTACATGTAAATATGTATATTAAAATAAAACTGTAGACCATGCGTATAATCTTAAGTAAAATGAAATCAAAAGTCATGATCAAAGTAAGGCT